GTGATGATGATGATGGTAAAGGTGGTGATGATGGTGGTGAGGAGGGGGTGGGATGGTGGTGATGACTGTGATAAGGGAGGTGGTGACGGTGATGGCGATGGTGAGGAGGAGGATGGTGATTATTACAATGAGGATGGTGATATGGTGATTATGATGAGGGGGTGTGATAGTGATGATGGGGTGATTATAATGAGGGGGGTGGTGATGCTGGTGATGATTATGATGAGGGGGTGATGAGGAGGAGGAGGCTGGTGGTGATGATGTTTATGATGATGGAGATGATGGTGGTTACGATGAGGGTGATGGTGGTGGTGACGGTGATGGTGGTGGTGACGGTGATGGTGGTGGTGACGGTGATGGTGGTGGTGACAGTGATGGTGGTGGTGGTGGTGACGGTGATGGTGATTATGATGAGGGGGTGAGGAGGAGGAGGAGGAGGCTGGTGGTGATGTTTATGATGATGGAGATGATGGTGGTTATGATGAGGGTGATGGTGGTGGTGGTGATTAAGATGATGAACATGATAATGATGATTTTTTTATTATTATTACCACATTTTCCACAAGTTGAAGCTCTGTGGTTACTGTATTTGGAATATCAGCACCAACTCCCTGCCATCAGTCTGTGCACTTCAAGCTGACACTTGATCAGGTTCCCAAGGCTGTAAATCTTAGCTGGAAGAGGCTGCTACATCTTTTTCCTCCAGAGCAGCTGGTGGGTTTGAACCATCAACTTATTAGTTAGTAGCCCAGTGTTTGCGCTACTACACTCTCAAGGCTAGTGTAAGCCTGATTTTTACGTGCGTGGGAAACAAACAACGACACTGTGTGACACACGTCATGGCAATCTTGCTTTATTTTGGTGATCTGGAATGAAACCTCATTATTCCCAAGGTCTGCATGTCCAATGTAAGAAGGGCCATGTGACAAACAGGAGGTGACGTCGCTCACCACCCTAAAAAGAAAGGAAGGCACTCTGATGGCATGGAGCATCACAAGCTGCGCTCCTAGGTGAAAGGTTAGCAGTTCAAATCCACCACAGAAAGATGGCGGTTTCTTCCCCATAAAGCTTTAGAGCCTCAGAACTGGATGACACATGTCGGCACCGAGCCCTATGGCAGTGAGTTTGGCTTGGTTTTAGAAAGGAGATGAGTTTCCTGTAGAACAAATTCTGCTCCTCCAGCTCCCCCAAATCAGGACAGAGCGCCCTCTCCTCCCTTGGGGACTGGATCCCGTGCAGGTGTCAGCTGTGGTGCTGTCCTCTCATTGCAGGTTTTAAGTAGCTTCCGGAAGACAGAGCTGGAGGCAAGCTGTGTCAGCTGCTCTGTGCTCAGATACAGGTGAGCTGGTGCCTCCTCGGAGTGGGGCAGCTCGGAGCTGGGAGCGTTCCGGAAGGTTCTGAGAGGAGCCTCTCCCGGCACTCTCGCCTCTGCAGGGACGGGAACTCCAGCGTCCTGGTGCGGTTCCGGCTACACTTCCTGCTGCACACCCTGGGGACGCTGAGCCTGGGCCTGGAGGAGGCACTGCTGCAGCAGGGGCTGCGCACTGGCCTGGGGGACCACGGCCTCCCCCTGGGCAGCTACGGCTCCATCGTGTCTGCAGAGCTCATGGGTGAGTAGGGGGCAGACTGACCGGCTCCCAGGAGGCGCTGGGCTGAGGAGCCTGGGCTCTGCTGTCCAGCAGGAAAAGAGCCATCTATAAACAAACAGGCTTGTCCACGTGCCAATAAAGCTTTATTTACAAACCCAAACAGGGGTCCGGATGTTGGGCCCAGAAGCTACAGTTTGCAGACCGTGATATAAAAATAAGAATAAACAATATGCTCAAAAATTCTCTGATCCAAGCAGTAAGCAGACCTATAAAGGGGTGCAGACAGGGAGCCCCTGAGAAGCAAGGCTGTGAGACTTGGTGCACTTACTTTGATGTGTTGCTGGGATGGACAGAGACCTGGAGAAGGAGATCATGACTGGCAAGATTGAGGGTGGGTGTGAACGAGAAGACCCTCGATGAGATAGACTCTCCCCTTGGCCCCAGTGGACTGGAGCCCAGCAGAGACTGTGAAGAGGCCCGGCTCAGGCAGGGTGTCCATGTGTCCCATGTGGGCTTTCGTCATGTCGTCCTGTCGGGTCATTGTCCACTCGAGGGCGCCCCACAGTGAACAACTCTACCCATGAGGAAGAGGCTGCTCACGAGACCGAGATGGGAGCGTCGGTCCCAGTCAAAGCTCAGAAGTCAGGATGGAGCTGGAAAGAGCAGTAGAAGTGAGGGTCACACGGAGGGAGCGGGACTGGTGCTGCAGCCCCGGGGTGGGGGAGGCCACGCCTCCAGCGCAAAATGGGTAGAAATCAGGGAATGGAAGCGAATGTACCCTGTGAACTTCCACCCAGACCAGGACATGTTAAAAAAAAGAAATAAATTCATGATTCAGTTCAGTTGAGGTAATAAGCTGTGATTTGCAAACTAGAGTCCAGCTCATTCAGGCCACAATGACATTTTAAATTCTCTTCCCCTTGACCTTACTCTTGGGGGCACCGACAGTTCCCTCTCTGCTGACCCTGACACTCACATTGAGGTCTTAGTGACATGGGGCCAGCACTGTCTCAGGAGGATTCTTAGATCTGGAAAGGACCGTCTGTGCTGCAGGTCATGGGCTCGCCAGCACCACTGAGAGAAGGAGGGGTTAAAACCCAAGCAGCCTGTCCCCTCCCCTCCCTGGGGGCTGAACAGGGTCCCCTGGTGCGGACGATTCCGCGTGCAGGCCAGACCCTGGGACCTGAGTCCATTTCAAGACTGTCAGGTGACCCTTGCTAAGTACTTTTACCTAAACTCAACTCAAACCCATCGTTGTAGAACCAGAAGAGACTCACGCTGACCCTCCATTGCCACGTATGGACTCAACACTGACCCTCTGTCCCTGTAAACAGACTCGGCCAGCTCCCTATCCCCGTGAACAGACTCACAGCTGACCTCCACCCATCAACACTGACCCTCCACCCCTGTGAACAGACTCACAGCTGACCCTCCACCCATCAACACTGACCCTCTATCCCCGTGGACAGACTCACAGCTAACCCTCCACCCATCAACACTGAACCTCTATCCCCGTGAACAGACTCACAGCTGACCTCCACCCATCAACACTGACCCTCTATCCCCGTGAACAGACTCACAGCTGACCTCCACCCATCAACACTGACGCTCTATCCCCGTGAACAGACTCGGCCAGCCCCCTATTCCTGTGAACAGACTCACAGCTGACCCTCCACCCATCAACACTGACCCTCTATCCCTGTGAACAGACTCATGACTGACCCTCCACCCCTGTGAATGGGCCCAGAAGGCCCTCTGGGGCTGTGACTTGCACAAGGGGGAGATGGCCCATTTTTCTCTCTTGGGGCAGCTGTTGGATTTGAACCAGCAGAGAGGCGTAGCCTTTGGGGATCGCAGCTCACAGCCCTGTGGAATAGGCCACCGGAAGCTTCCTTTTTGTAGACAGACACAGGGAAACACGCATATGGTCCTGGGGTAAACAGGTGTCACTTGCATCACAGTTTAGAAGAAGTCCTGAAACTTTCTGAGGACAGCTGTGTGTGTATTCAGTCCTGTTTTGTGGCATAAATTTCCCTGACACTCGACTGAGAGTCTGTCCGGCATCCTGTCCACCTCTCCTTCATTCACCTCTCCAGACAAGAACCCTCCTTGCTCCAGCCGGGGCTGGAGTTCACGCTGCATCCGCCCAGGACACTTTGGGGCACCCGGGCTCCTCCATGCCCATCACGGGGCCCGGAGACGGCGGAGTGGGAGGGCTCTTTCCGTTTCACTCTGACCGTATACGTTTAGGTGGACGTGGCTGTCCCGGGGGACTCACAGGCCTGTTGTGCCCCTGTGGCCACGCCCGTTCTCCAGGGGAGCCTGCTACTGACCCCCGGAGCTCACCTGTCTCCTTTCCCTGCAGGAAGCCAGACGGGCCTGCTCACAGAAAGAGACTTGAAATCAGGTATGTGCCTCTCTCTGCAGGGGTCCCCCACCCATGGTGTGCAGTTTCCACCTCCAGGGGCCAACGGGACTTTTAACAAATGCAATCCCCAAACCGAGCCCGTTCCCAGCAAGCCGAGCCCCACACAGGCAACTCTGTGTGTCAGAGAAGAGCTGTGCTCCGCACACTGAGGTAGGTTGGTCTACAGAAGGAGGTTGCCAGGCCTTTCTTCTGCAGCACCGCTGGGTGTACTTGACCCACCAGCACCTGGGTTGTTGTTAGGTTCCCTCAAGTCCGCTACGGTGCGTAGCGACCTATAACAACCCATCTGGGCCTTGTGCTATCCTGCACCAGCCTGATAATCTCTGAAACGCTCAAGTCCACATTTAAGGTCAGTCCGTCTCCCTGAGGGTCTTCCTTTCTTCCTCCGACCCCCCATCCCTCCCAGCGTGATGTCTTTTCTCCAGGGACTCAGGCTTCCTGACAACATGCACAGGTATGAGACGGAGTTTCACCATCCTTGCCTCTAAGCGCCCATAACGTACTGCCTCCAAGACCGAATTGTGTTTGTTAGGTGCTGTCGAGTCGGGTACGACTCATAGCGTCAACAAGAGATCTGAGCCTTGTCCTCTTGTCCTCTCCTGTCCGTCCTCATCATCTCTGACTTGCTCGAGCCCATTGCCACAGTCCCTGTGTCAGTTCACCTGGTTGAAGATCTTCCTCTCCCTCACTGACCCTCCACCTTCCCAAGCACGATGTCTCTCCAAGGAACAGCCTCTCCTAGCATCACACCCAAAGCATGTGAGATGAAGCTTTGTGCTCTTTGCCTCCAAGGAGCAAACTCTGGCTGCATCTTCTCCAAGACCTATTTCTTTATTCTTTTGACAGTCCATGGGACAGACATCAGTTCCTCTTTTATCATCAAAACAGATTTAGTGAACAGAAAAAGCCACTGGGGTTGAGCTAATCTGGACGTAATGACCCTCCATCTAGTTTCGGAGGCTGTAAATCTGAACAGACAGACAGCATCGTTCTTCTCCCACTGAGCGACTGGTGTGTTTGAACTGTAGACTCTTGGATTATCAGCCTGACCCTTAACTCACGCTGCCATGAGGGCACCTTGATTTCCTAATAGTTGAACAAAAATTATATTTGTTGTTGATTGCCGTCAAATCCAGCACAACTCACAGCGATCCTATGAACAAAAGACCTGAAGCCTTTCAGTAATTATGTAGTTTCTCAGAATTCACAGTTTCCAGAGGCATGTGGTTCAGGAAGTGGATGCCACTCCTGCTTCCAAACATGGCTTCACCTGGGAGCTCCACCAAACACTGCCCACCATGGGTAACTGTTGGACAAAAATTGTTTATGCCACTTAATAAATACTGTTTTTAAAAAAAATAATTTCAAAGATCAGGCTATAAATTTAACTCACAGATTCTTGTTCACTGAGCACAGTGGAAAGGGCCCCTTGTAAGATTATTGTTGTTGTTATGTGTCATCAAGTGGCCTGCAACCCATAGCGACCGTACGTACAGCAGCTGTGCCAAGCCAGTGTCACTGACTCTGTCATACCAACCCCTATTGCCCCAGTCACTGCATCAATCTATCTCATCCGGGGGCTTCCTCTCCTGCACTGTCCCTCCACCCTTCCAAGCATGATGTCCTTCTCCAAGGACCAGCCCTTCCTGGCCACGTGTCCAAAGTATGTTAGATGGAGCTTCAAAATCCTAGTCTCCAAGGAGAAACTTGGTTTCACCCTCTCTAGGACAGATGTGTTTGTTTTCTTGGCATTCCATGGTATGTTCAAGACTCTTCTCCAGCACCACAACTCACAGGCATCAATTCTTCTTCTATCATCCTTAGTTATTAACCAGCTCTCTGATGCATAGAAAGTAATTGAGAAGACTATGGCCTGCATCAGGCACACCCTAGTCTCTAGACTGACGTCATTGCTCTTTGACATTTTGGAGAGGTCCCTGACCTTTTGATTTCCTGACTGCTGGTGCCAAGAGTGTTGATTGTGGAGCCAAGCAAGTTGTAATTGTTAACAACCTCAATCTCCTCTCCATCTATTGTGGTGCTGCTAGTTAACTCAGTGGTGAGAATCTTTGTCTTCTTGATGTTGAGCTTCAATTCATATTGAAGACTGCAAGCCTTGACTTTTGCAGCAAATGCTTCATGTCCTCCTCAGTTTCAGCAAGCCAGGTTGTATCATCTGTATAATGCAGGTTGTTAATGAGTCTTTCTCCAATCTTGATGTCACATTACTCCTCGTAAAGGGCAGCCTCCCTAATGATCTGTTCTGCATATGGATTGAAAAGGCATGGAGACAGGACGCATCCCTGACGCACTTCCTTCTCTGATTTTGAACCATGCAGGTGCTTCCTTGCTCTGTTCTGAGGACTGCTTCCTGGTCTGAGTATTCCCATTCTCCTCAGGGTTAGCCACAATTTGTTGTGATCCACACAGTGAAATGCCTTTGCATAGTCAAGGAAACACAGATAGACATTCCTCTGGTATGCTCTGCTTTCTGCCAACATCCATTTTATATTGGCAATAATTTTTCTAGTGCCTTACCTCTTCTAAACCCAACTTATATTTCTGGTAGTTCTCCTACAATGTACTGTTCCAATAATCTTTGGAAAATCTTAGCAGGACTTTGCTTGTGTGTGATATTAGTGATATTGTTCAATAATTTCTGTACTCTGTCACATCACCTTTATTGGCAGGGGAATAAATAAGGATCTCTTTCAGTCAGTTGGGCAGGTGTTTGTCCTCCAGATTTCTTGGCATAATCTGGTCAGCACATCCACGGCAGCATCTGTTTGTTGAAATATGTCAATTGGTATTCCATCAATTCCTGGGGCCTTGATTTTTGCCAAGTCCTTCAGAGCAGCCTGAACTTTCTCCATCACCATTTCTTCTTGATCATATGTTTTTTTCTTTAAATTCTTCTTTGTCATCCAATTCTTTTTGGTACAGTGGCTCTGTATACACCTTCCATCTTCTTTTAATGCTTCCTGGATCATTCAGTATTCTGCCCATAACATCTTTAAGTATTGTAACTCAAGGCTTGAATTTGTTCTTTAATTCCTTCCATTTAAGAAATACTGAGCGAGTTCAGTTCTTTTGATTTTCCGACTCCAGCTCCTTGCTGGAATACGTAAAAATAATTTGTTTGTTTGTTTAGAATAAAGACTGGAAACTGTCTGGGCAGTTTTAACATGTCCCACAGGGTCACTATGAAGTGACCCTCAATGTAATCAATTCAATGGCAGTGCAATTATTGTTTGGTCTGAAGAAATCTTCAGGAGATGTTTTAGGTTTAAATTCATGGTTTTTCAGCACAATAGTTTCAGAGGTTCATTTTGCCTCTGGTTAATTTAAAATTCTGCTCTAAATTTCCCCCCTTTTGATAAGGATTCTTCTATAGAATCTTTAAACAAGCTGTTTTGTAAAGTTAGCCGGGCACCACCCAGTTTTTCTGATCTCATTGCAAAGGAGGCACATGTTCATGGAGACAGTTGGCCACACATTGTATTTCTGCCTTATTTTTTACTCCTCCTTTTTTTGAAATTCCAAACTAAAAAAAAAAAATTCATTGCTGTCAAGTTGGAACTGACCCATAGCTGACCCTCCAGTGGGTTCTTGGAGATTGTAAATCACAGAGGAGGTTGTCTGGCTTTCAGCCATGGAGGAACAGATGACTTGGAACCACCAGTAGAGGTAATACCTTTGGTTTACCTGTACGGCTCCCTGAAGACTGTGCCCCAGAGCTCTGCTGTTTCAGGTGAACAGAAGCAAATTGTTGTGCCTCGCACGGAGGTCTTTGCACGCTTGCAGGACTCTTCCAGGTGCTGTGAACCAAGTAAGATGAACTCATCGACAACTTCAAACTTCAAACTTTTGTCGTAAATCAGTTGCACTCCTAGCAACCCTGAGGACAGAGTCTGAACCCTGTCCTACCCTGTGCCATCCTAGCTCCTCTGATAGACTTGATCTTCTCATTATAACCAGTGTCAATCCATCTTGACCGAGAATCATCCTCTTTTTTGTTGACACCCCCCTCCCATATTTCTAAGCAAGGGGTGTTTTTCTAGGAATTGACTTCTAACACCATGGCCAAAGTGTATGAGATGAAGTTTCACTCCCCTTGCCTCCAAAGACCACCCAGGTTACGCTTCCTCCAGAACAATACCTGTTTTTTCTTTGGACAATGCATATGATATTAGTACTCTTCTCCAACACCACAGCTCAAAGCATCATCCTTATTGGTTGTCCAGCTTTCAGATGCATAACCAGTAATGGGAAAGGTCATGGCTTAGATCAACTGCACCTTAGTCTTTAAACTGGCATCATTGCTCCTTAGCACCTTGAAGAGGTCTTTGACATCAAATTCTTCCCAATGCAGTATATATAATTATATTTCTATTTCTATTTTTCCTGACTGTGGGTATTGATTGTGGATCCAAATAAGATGAACTCATTGACAACTTCAATCTTTTCTCCATGATGCAGTGGTGAGGCTGTTTTCTGATGTGGAGATGTAATCTATACTTTTTTTTTTACAATTGACATTCAAAAAAATACTTAAAAATTTATTTCAAATTTCTTAAGCAGTAAAAGAAACAATTTCTGCTTATGAGAGGGATCCACTTATACTATGTCTGGTACAGCCACACTAGATAACTAAGTAGGTATCGCATCAAACTCCTAACCAGAGGTCTGTGGTTTGAAAATTCCAGCTGTTCTGTGGGAGGAAGATCACGGGCGGTCTTCTCTAGTATGAAAGCCTCTCGTCTCCCTCCTGTACCAGTCAGATCCAATTTGACAGGACACACACACAAAATAAAACAATAAAAAAGTTTATAGTCTCAGAAACTTGACAGATACTTCAGCACCAGGGCAGCAGGTTTTTAAAGTTCACATTGGCTACTTATTATTAATGTTTTGCCTCTGATGGACAGGATGGTGGTGAGATACAGCAGAAATGGGTGCATTAAACCACTGTTATTATTTCACTAAGAAAAATAATCTTCAAATATCTACGAGCTATGAGCTGTATCCACACAACCAGCAAATAACAAAGCCCATGCAATTGAAATGTGCCTCCCTGGAGACGTAATCCATGGTGAAGGCGGTAGTCTTTGATCTTCTGCCGCGTACTAGGAGGTAAGAAAGAGGTACTGTACATGCTCTGAGGCCCATTAACCGGGCTGTCCCACGCAGCTGTGACCCTGAGCCTCCAAGCCAAGGCCCCCACCCGGAGGTGGGAGGTGTTAAGCTGCGCACAGCAGTCCTGCTGTCCACTTTGTGGTAGTGACTGTTGTCATGACATCTATCACACAACCTTTGACACCCCGACACCCTGTAGCCTTGCACCCCTCCTCTGACAGGGGTGAGGTGAGAGAGTCACAGTCCTGGGTGAGCAAAGAAGGAAAGACAAGTCTCTGCGTTGTGTTGTGTTTTTTATTTAACTATCTTAGCAAACCTTTATATTATTTTTATATTCAGTTGGCTGTACATTTCATTGTTTTTAAATTTTAGTGGAAGTTTACAAATCATACTGGTTTGTCATTCAAACATTTGTTTTATAACATTATTATTTAATCATATCATTGATTTATTACAATGTTGAGTCAAACTCTCATTATGTGCTATCTTTCCCCTCACCCAAGTTACCTATTTATTACATTTTATGGCACTCTCTCTTCCTTCTCATTTCTGTTAATCCTCAAAATCTTTTTCTGTGTATAAATTTTCCTTGGCTTTTTATATTGGCGGTCTTACTGTGTAAGTAAGATGAGTTACTTTGAGTGGAGTGTGATTAAAA